TAGGATAGCTAACGCAAAGGTAGAATTTGATCAAAAGTTTCCTATCATTCTACCAGCACATCATTATGCAGTCAAGTTATTAATTCGATTCGAACATCTCAAACTTTTTCATGCTGGTTCTCAAACAGTGTTAGCAAACTTAAGATTAATGTATTGGATAATTCATGGAATGGGAAGAGTCAAATCAGTTGTGAACGAATGTGTGATCTGTCACAGGTTAAAGGCGAAAGGGGCCACTCAATTTATGGGTGCACCACCACCAGACCGGGTATCGACAGCTCGTCCATTTAAATATTACATTAATTACAATCAAGATTACGTGGAATAGTTACCAGCAAAGCTTATAATGCATTATTTATTTGCATGGTTACTAAAGTAATCCACATTGAGGCAGTGAGTAGTTTAAATACCGAAGCATTTATTCTCACGCTTAAAAGGTTTATTGCACGGAGAGGGTGTCCACATGCTACTTTTAGTGATAATGCAACTAATTTTCAGGGTGCCAATAAAGCACTTAAAAACGTTTATATATTTTTCAAAAATCAAAAGAATTTGTCAGAGGTTCGTGAGGAATTGGTCAATAGGAAAAATGAGTAGTGTTTCATGCCACCAGTTAGTCCTCATTGGGGTGGCTTATGGGAAGCAGGGATAAAGCCGACAAAGTTTCATTTAAAAATAATAGTTGGTCATTTAACTTTGACGATTGAAGAATTAACTACTGTGTTGGCACAAATTGAAGCCATTTTAAATTCAAGGCATTTAAGTCCAATTTCATCGGATTCTTGAGATTTTAATTGCTTAACACCATCACACTTTTTGATAGGTGAGCCAAAATAAACTAAGTTTTTTCCATCTTTATAATAAAATTAAGCAAAACTTTTGGAAGCGATGGTCAACTGAATATTTAACTAAATTGCAAAGCAGACCAAAGTGGTTCAAGCATGGTAAAAATTTAAAAGAGACTCGCTCTCTTTTAAATGGTGCTTCTGAAAGAAGATAACGTTCCGCCACTACACTCACTGGTCATTGGGTTGAATTGTCCATGTTTTCGTTAATCTTTAATTATTTTTTTTTAATCGGCCACCTCTACAGATGGTAAATGGAAAATCCGAAAAAATAATGAAATTTTTGGAGCGTTACTACCAAAATACCTACCTAAAACTTGATTGATATGTTATTTAAGCTTACACAAAAAAACTACCGCAAGCTGCCGTCTGCTAACCGTTTGATCTACTAAAATACCCGAAATACCTAATCTAATACAATTAATGAACGTTTCGAGAAGTACAAATTCGTAACGTTTACCAAGTGGCCATAATCTTCCCAATTCCCAAACACCGGCTCAAAGTCTATGAAGTCGTCGAGATGTGCTGTCGTTCTCTACGTGTTGGCTCCAGATCTCATCCAGACTGTCTCTGGCTATTCGATTCACCAATATCGTGGTTCAAGGGGCAGCTGATGGCCCAACGAGCGGATTTGCAGTAGGCGGGCAAAATCTCCAACAGACAGCAGACCAACAAAAATCGCGGACTCTCGATTCATTTTTCATCCGTTCCCTTCAAAAAGCGTGGTCAGCGAAGGTGACCGAAGGTGAAGGACAAACCCATGATAAAGACTGCTGATATTTCGAAACGAGACACAAATATTTAAACACTAAAATTCAAACAATTCTTGAAGTATTGTTAACCTAACCTGACAAACGTTATTACTAAATCGAAATTACAAATAAAAATCGCCTATCACAATTATAACTGAAAACTACATTCATTTGAGAACAACGGGTTAGCAGGCAGGTAAGCCACTGGCTAAATTCCTTTTAACCGTTACAATGAATACACTATTAATAACGAAAATGTGTCGCCACTGGTAGCTCAGAAGTGAAAGCAGTGTCTAGTGGGCTTTTCGGCTTAGCAAAATGTGTCTTCCATGCTAGAGAGGATTCTTTCAGGGTGGAGGTTTTACAACC